GCGATCTTGGGCACACACGCACACGTGCCAGGCGTGAGTTTTAAGCCACCGGGTCCGGGACACAAACCGCAGTCGACTACGTGGGAGTCCAGCGACATAGCCATTACGCTAACTGCTAGTCCCCCAAAAATCAACATTTTTGAAGAGAGGCCAAGTTGCTTTGCAGAATTCCACTCAATTTGGATCTGTTTGTTTTTAGTAATGAGATTCAGACCAAACATCTTTAGCAGGAGTATCACACAGGTGGTGCTGTGTCCTTTGCACATCACATCAAAGGACACAAAATAGCAGTCTGTTCCATGAAAGGTGACGTGAAATGTCATGATTTGGTTATAGGCGGTATCGGCCAGATCCCGCTTGTAAACATGCCTGTTCCCCCTTTGTGTTAGTAAGTAGTCTGTAATGCTTTAGGATGACTGTGCACCAGGTCAGCTTCTAAACCCAGAGCGTAGCAGTTGTGTTGAAGGTGCAATCAAGACCACTCTCTGCACAAGAGATGAAACCAAGGCCTGTCACTTAGATCCCTGCATTTCCGTCTTCCTAGAGCAGTCCCTGCTGGTTCTGAGAAAACAGAACTGGAGGGTAAGGGTGCTTTGTGGAGAGTTATTATCGATCTCAACACTGCCTGACTGTCATAGGGCGGGCACCACCACGCCCCAACACCACCTCACTGTCTACGGGACAGTGCAGCTTGTCCTATGTACCTTGTAGAGGGAATGCATCATTGGCTCTGCCTAGTGGTCAGATATCAGTATCTGATGATTCAGGAGCCCAAAGCTGGGGTCTCCTTAGAGCCTGCAGAGGTGCAAGGAGTTTGCAACCTCTCATGTCCTACTTCCGTACCAGGATCCTGTCCCTAGATGGGAATAACAGCCACTACTCAGTTGCTCCTATGTATTGGCAAGCGCAAAATGAAGGGCCCCTGTTGCAGTAATTTCATCTCGGCCATGGGAGATAAGGGTTTCTGCTCCTTGGCAGGACTGGAAAGGGAGGCCGAAGTCGACAATGAGTGCCATACACCATCCTAAACACCAACAGCCAGCTACCAAATTGGAAAAGAGGCTCGCTCCCCCCCCTTTGGAATTTTCTCGCTCATGCTTTCCCCCTTTTGCTTTTGAAGAGGATGATGTCCTGCCCCGGAATGCAGCACCCGCTGTGGGCCTTCTACCCCCAATTAAAGGAAGAAGAAGTCCAGAGAGCCAGAAGAGCCGGCACAGCCCCAAGACATCAGGCAGCATTAGCCCCAGCAGACCCCCAAGTGTGAGACCACCTGGGAGCCCATTGCCGTCGGGACAAGGTAATCATTCCTGGGTACCCACCAATGTCTGCCTATGGCTTATTCCAAGGCTATCTGGCAGCATAAGTTCTCTAGAGGGCACCCCATTGAAAATGGGAAATCAGAGCCGGGCATTGGCACAGGGGCAAAACATCTCACTTTATGGGGCAATCCCACATGGGAAGATTCCCGGTTTAAGTCCGGAGACCTGCTTGAGAATGCCAGGCATACACATGTCCATGATCTGGGGCTGGCTAACTCTAGGGACGGATCGAGACCCTGTTAGGGTGCCACTTTTCCCTCTCTTGCTCATAGAATAAATAAATTAATTCATTTTAAAAATGTTTTAAATAATGGGGGAAACGGGCTGTGTTTCCGATGATGTCAGTGGGATTAGCGATCGCCATGCATATCCTAAAGAGTCAGTACGTGTTTCAGGAGTTTGCTGCACTGACACGCACAGCCCAGCTGTTTTGCACCTTCCTCACTCCTGCAGTAGCGTGTGATGACACCGCTCCCCGCACTCCTGGGGGAGACACGCTACTGATGTACCAGCAACACCAAGACACAACCTTTCCTGGAGCAAAGGAGCCTTGTGGCCCGCCACTAAGAAGTCCCCAGAGAGAAGGCCCTTTCAGCCAGGGCAGACCTAAGTCCTGTTTGCAGAGAGAGAAGGATCCCAGATTTCTATTGACCTCTGTGACTTAGCCGCACTTCAAGTTATTACCCTAAGGGGCCCATGGGCAGGGAAGAGACTGAGATGCGTGTGTGAGCGAGGACTGTGCAGCCACAGCTTCTGGGGCCTTCGATCTAAAGGTAGCTCATAAAGCAAGATTGCCTGGAGTCTAAACTACCCCTGCAAATTCCTAGGGAGGTGCCAGGCTGGAGACTGACAGCCCATTTGCAAAGGCGAGCAGCCCAGTCAGCTGTTCCTCCTCCGTTGCAGCCTTGGGCTGATTTCTCAGGCGAGCACCAGATGAAGGAGATGGCATGTGTTTAGGGGACAGATTGTGCGAACAAAAGGCAAGTATCTCCGTTACTAGCAGAATCACACTCAGGGCTGTGAGAAACTCACACTTCGGGAGGCACGTGGGTACTGAGAGCCATCACGAAGACAGCAGATGTCACATCTTTCATTTCATGCTCGCTCAGGGACAGAACGCCTTGCTGTCTCAGTCTTTCTCTCCCTCTCTCATTCTCTCCCTAAAGCATGTACAGATGAATTTTCATAAGCATAAATTGCATACATAGATCAAGAACTCCATTCTGTGCTTGCAGCTTCTCCGTTGAAGACTGAGATGGTCAGAACCAAATCCCCTCTGCCGACCCAACTCTCTTTCCTACCCCCGCCCACACACAGTGATGGGTTTTTCACTTAGAAGCCATTTCAGGGTTGGAGATTTTCTTTCTCTACTCCCTCCCCTCTATTCTTGTGTGGCAGGGATGTGCTTTTAATTTTGATAAACATGAACCAGTCTTGAGGTACTGTCGTGTCAGCGCCAAGTGCGTTCCCAGGAGTTAGCATAGTTCAGGACAAATCACACCAAACAGACACGCACAGTGGCTCTCAGACATCCATGTAAATGAAGAATCTGATTAGAAGAGAATCCAGGCCGGGACCAGCAGTTAGCATAATGGCTATGTCGCTGAACTCCCATTTAGTTGACTGCAGTTCGAGTCCCAGACCCGGTGGCTTAAACTCACGCCAGGCATGTGTGCGTCCGTGCCCAAAATCCCAAGAGGAGAATGGAGGAGAAGGCATTGCGGCGTGGCCATCCCCCGGGGGGTGACTTCTCGCTTTCTGTCTCTCTGTCTCTCTCTCTGTCTTCCTGGCAAGGGCATGCGCCCTATAGCAAAAACCTCTCCAAAAAGAGAGAATCCAGGCCATGACTGCAACAAGAGGGCAGCCTGGAGCCTCAAGTGTGTAGGTTGGGTATATGTACATGTGTAAGTGAGTTCATGTGTCTCCGAGTGTGTGGAGACATGTATGTACTTCTATGCCCATGTGAGTACGTGAGTGTGCCTGTATGCATGCCTGCACACCTGTGAGTGAGTGTTTATGTGTGGAAAATGGAGGAAAAGGGACAGTATGCATCTGTATGCATACATATGAATGAGTACACATGTCAGTGTATGTGTGTGTATAAGTGTGTGTTCTTTATTGTGTTTGTAAGTGTGCGTGTTGTGCCTTGGTAGATGTGTACGTCTGTGTGGTTTTGCATATGTGTGTATTCCTATGCCATCACTCCTAGCCTGCCCTGCTCCTGCCCTTTGCCTTGGAAATGGGGAAGGTGTGGTATAATAAGAAATTTAGGGACTGGCGGATGGGGTAATGGTTGCGTCACTGGACTCCCATGTAGTTGACCGCAGTTTGACTCTTGAACGCAGTGGTTTAAAATTCCCTCTGGACATGTGTGCATGCATGCCCAAAATCCCAAGCAGGGAATGGAGGAGGAGGGATTGCAGCATGGCCATCCCCCAAGGGACTGATTTCTTACTTTCTATCTCTCTGTCTCGCTGGTGAACACACATGCCCTGTTAAAAAAAAACTCTCTCTTAAAAAAAAAAAAGAAGAAGAAAAGAAATATATTGAGCTGTCGAGAAAGTCATGATGTATTTTTCTGTTTTTCTATGCAAAAAATGTGTCATGACTTTTATGTCGGCCCAATATTTGGTCTTTGCTTCTGATATCTGTCACAGAGCTAAAATCTTGGGCATCTTCTTTTTTTTAGAGAGAAAGTTTTGCTATAGGGTGCATGCACTTGCCAGAGACACAGAGAGAGACAGAGAGAAAAAAAATGAGAACTCAATCCCTGGGGAGATGGCCACACTACAGTCCCTTTTTCTCCATTTTCCTCTTTGGATTTTGGGTACACGCACACACATGCCCAGTGTGAGTTTCAAACCACTGTGTCCAGGACTCAAACTGCAGTTGGCCATATGGGGAGTTCCGCACCTTAACCAGTACGCCACCTGCTGGCCCCACCTTTGGAATTTTCTGAGTGGTAGGAGTGTCTTTCATTATTCACAAGGAGCCAGCTCTAATAGTGCCCGAGCTTATGCTAATGAGATGACTTAGGTTAGGGTCTCTAAATAGCCTCAGATGAGGCCAGTCATGAGAAAGACCAAGTGATTAGAGGGTTAGAATGTTGAACTTTCAGCCCCACCAGCCAACCTCCAGATGAGGTAGTGGGGACGCCAGAGAACAAGCTCTATAAACACCCCTGAATAGCAAGAGTTGATGAGCTTCCGGGTTGCCAAACATATGAGTTGCTGTAAGGACAGCACAGAGAGGGCATGGGAACCTCACACCTCTCCCCACCACCCTAGTACCTCACCCTACAGCTCTTCATCTGACCATCACCTGTATGCTTTGTAATATCCTTTATAATAAACCAGGAAGTGTAAGTGTCCTCTGAGTTCTGGAAGCCATCCTCGCAGATTATTCATCACAACGAGGTGTAGTTGTGGCTGCCTCAATTCATAGCCAGGTAGTCAGAAGTACAGGTCAGAACCTGCTCACAGGTGGCATCTGAAGGCATCTTGTAGGACTGAGACCTTAACCTGTGGGATGCGACACTATCTCCAATAGATAATGTCGAAATGAGTTGTCATAGGACACCCAATGGGTATCCGCAGGTGGGCTGTTTAGTTAGTGTACGGAGAAAAAAAACAATAACACTTACTTGGTTACAGAACTCTTCTGAATGTGAGAATAAAGTAGGAAAAAGTTTTTTTTTTTTTATTTTTACAATGAGGTTACATAGACACTTCAATCTGTCTAAGTAGCTGAGGAAAATACAACTTGCTTCTCCTTGGCCTGAGCCCTTGGAAACACTAAGCAGTTTCAGCCTTTGGTCCACAAAGTATAGTTGTACATGCTGAATTCTGCACAAAGGCATCTGACGCTGATGCAGGAATCACCAAGGTGACCCCACCAGCTTAGCCCTGCCCCCAGGAGCTCAGAGAGGCCACCTTTTCCAGACTCTCACAAAGACATGATATAGACTAGCGACAGCCCCTCCCTGCTCATCCCACCTCGGTCCTCAGAGGACAGGACCGAAAAAATGGCCCTGCTCTGTCAGAACCCAGATCCCAGGAAGAGGGCTTGCCCTGTACTCTGGTGAGCACCTGAGCACCCAGCACCTGCATGCATGTGTCCACACAGCTAGTCCCAAGTGCTCTGTGTTGAGTGTGAAAGTAGAGTAGGGGAAAATCTGGGATCAGGGGAACACAGCCCAGGTCCCCTCATCTGCACTGGTGCTAACAATGCCCATGTTTGTGCTTATTTTCAAGAAGATTCCAGAGACCCCACGCTGGGACACTTCCTGCTGGGTCCAGATGGAGCAAACGTCTGCCTGTCGCTCTCAGGGCTTACTCAAAGTGAGGCGCTTCCATCGGGCAAAGGTGAGATAACTTGCCAGGCCAACCTTGTTTTCAAAGGGGAAGATTTTACCTGCGGCTTCCAAAATTTCCCAGCAGCAGAGACATCATTAAAAACAGACGCGAGCCAGCCGGTTTCTCCCCTCTCGCTGACACAGAGGTGCTTCTGTAGCACAGACACAATAACCCAATGTTTGCACAACAAGTTTACTCTTGTTGGGGCATCTGGAGAGAGCAGTTCCAGTGGGATGGCTTGGAAGAGGTCTAATGTGCCATGGTGATGCCTTGATGAGAATGATAAAGCCCTTCTGGTATTTGCCCAAACTAAACACTCTTCTTTCCAACCACCCTTCAGAGGTGGAGGTGGCTAATTGGTAATCCGAGAAGGAATCCTTGTTACGTGCGTTGGTTCATTGCTGTGAGTCATCTGGCTCCTGACAGATAGCAAGGCAGCTTCCAAAACCCTTTCTGGCAATGTTAACTTTTTGGAAAAGAGATGATGGCTCTGGGTACTAGCCATTTTTCAAAAGGAAAAAAGAAATGAAGTCAGAGGGTGATGAATGTCAACCACCCAGAAGCCATCGTGATGCATGCACGTGACCACACAGCAAGCAGGCCCCCTGATGAGAGAGTAGAAGGGCTGCTCTCATTTGGCGGGCTTATATAGAAAGCTGGCTTCGTGAAAAGAGCATTGATTCAAAGCCAGGAGATTTGAGTAGTCCTGGCTTGTCCTCTGGGTTGCCAGATGACTTTGAGTCAGTCCCTTATGCCCTGCGTGTCCAAGGTTCATTAACCAGAAAGAGGTCTGACTCTCCCACTGAGAAATCCCCTGAGCATTGTGTTTTACATCTTGTGTCCATTGCTGCCAAAGTAGCCACCTCGTATGGAGATTTCCAGAAAGTAAAATGCATTTGGTTCCAAATTCAGAGTCAAAGAACCTCTATCACCACTTTGGGTAATACCATGATATGAATACAAAAATAGCTTGCCTCAGAATTGGCGGAAGCAGGAGTTAGACAGGTGGAGGCCACTGTCAGCGTGACACAGCTGGTACAACAGCTGGAAGGCAAATATGATTCTGCTCACCTGCTGCACATTTGTCCACTCTGTTCCAGGAGGAATAGTTTTCCTTTTGGCAAAGCAAAAGCCAGAAGCAGAAAAGGAAATAAATAGGATTTAGGCTTGAAATGTTGTTATCACCATTGTCAAGAGGATGCTTCAGTCATTTCAATATCCCCAGAACCTCGCACAGTCCTGACACATAACTCAGGATCATAAGAAATGCTCCCAGAAAAATCTTTCAATTATGTTCACATGAAGCAGAAAAGAGAGAAATGAAACGTATGCTGAGTAAATGGAACTGTGCCTGCCATCGAGTCGCAGGCCCACGGGCGGGGTGTTTAACCTTCTTGCCTCTGAGATAGAAACGCATTCGCTGTGTACATGTTGAATTAGTGAATGAGCCGTTTGGTCACTGGCCTCTCCTCCATTACAGTCAGTTGGCCTTGAGTCTTGATGATGATTAGGTGGTGCCCTGGGAAGTGGATAAGGATTTTCAACTCACATTTCCCTA